CTGTTTAAGCACACTTAAAAATATTTAGGATACTGTTGTTTTCAGATACGACTTAACTACGAGTTATCTATGTCTAAAATAGATATCATAACAATAATAAAGCACACACTCAACATAGCTCCGCACTAGGGAAACCCTGTGTCGCGGGTGCCGTGGACACCCACATAGACTACCACTAATTACACCCAAACTCACGAGAGAAATAAATGTAGGCCATTTAAATATGTCACCCGCCCCGGGATCGAACGTGAGACCTCTGCGTCTCATGTGCCTGTAATTTTACCAGCACCCTTACCATTACTGCTTGGCGGCAGAAATAGGTACGGTGGCAGTACTTCTCTGGACAAACCTATCACAAGGAGCTCTAGAGTTTTTAAAAAGATAGATATAATACTGCGATACGATGACATCGTAATATCAAAATCTATTGCAATTATACAAATACTATTTTATTACAGTTTGTTTATACATTCACCACAAGTTGATAGACTCTGTTTTCTAAATGTTACTGAAAAATTCATAGCGGCGTTTAACTATCAACAGCACAACCTCCTTTCGTTATTGAAACGCTCTAGATTAAATAATATTAATAGGGTATATTGAGTTTTTAATTTGGCTAATTTAAGATCCGGTGAACAATCGCCGTTTGACAAACTATTTATAGTAGTTTTTTTAAAGAGTTAGAATTACTTACTTCAGAGAAAGTACCAAGCTGTTAAGTAGTTATGATGATAAATCTATAAAATTTTCAAATGTTTCAAAAGACAATTTATTTCTCAACACAGAATTGGATAAACAATAGTAATCTTCATGAAAATAAACTGTTGGTTCTCAGCAGTCATCTTCACAAAATCCCAAGTTCATTTATAAGGATAGAATGAAAATGTTGCCAGGTTTAAAATATAACAAATCAAAACTTAATACTAAAGGTTATATACACAGCTTCTGAATTCTACGACGATAAAAATCGATTGTACTGACCCGTTTAGATGGTTCTATTTAGTTCGAAACAAATGTCTATATGGAAAGAGCATCTAGTTAACTTAGTATTCTTCGTATTCTTAGAATCTGCTTTATGAATAGTAAGTAGTGTTTAATAAACGGTGTAGTTTACTTACTCACGATTTGAATACATTTCATTGGTTTATACATTATACTATGCCTTACCAAATTTTGATTTTATATTTGAATGTTAAATACGTTGTGTGTGAAATCCCTGTTCCATATAAATAAGTAAAAGAAAACTAAAATACAAATAATAAAATAATATGTTTTTTTTTAAACAAACGGAAAGTTATAGTCTTATTAAACGAAATTGAAGCTAGACTTGAAGCTATTACAAACACTTGACTGCTTAAAATGAAAGTCCATAACGTTCATGATATCATTAAAGTTGTTATATTGTCAATGATGCTTTGATAAAAAAATGTAAATATGGATTTTTACCAAAAATATTTTCCAAACGGCCTTGGTTGAAAATAAAAACATATAGTGTAGTGTACATATAAAAACATATAGAGTAATAAAATTACATCGGCAAACTGAGAACTTTTCAGGAGTAAGCATTGACCTACCAAAGAAAGGCCTAAAAATTCTACGAACTAAATGAGTTGATAACTTTTATGCAAACAGGAGAGTTATAAATTTTTCACACATACATGTGTGCATGTTAATTTTATGGCTTTCTCGTGATAAAAGCACTTTTGACGTATGATAACATGTGGCTTTGTTATACCAAGGACACGATATTTATAAAAGTTATTCATGAGTCAATACTTATTAGAATTTGCTTCAATTATTTAACTAATTTATAAATTCAAATTTAAGATGAGGGTACCGCAAATCATCTACGCCCGAAGTAGAATTTATAATTATAATGTTACTCTGAATATTTCTTTGTCTGAGAGCCCTCAAACAAGCGAACTGTAATGTTAAATCATGTTTAATATAGCGTTAATTATTCTTATAATATAAATCATAAAACTACGAAAGATTTGTTTTAAAAATCTATTATTTCTTGAAGTATTTGATGAGTGGATATACTGTGGAATGTAGTTTTAATGACAGTACTTCTATTTCTGTGAATTTGACAAGAGAAATGCACAGCACTGATGTTACAAAGTTATTTATTAATTAATTTTTAATAAATAACTTACTCTCACAATTTAGCACTTAAAATTTTTTGAGTCGATATTGTGTCTCTTCTACTTATTATCTGGGTACCACAACGCAGGCTAGAGCAGTGGGACAACTATGCCAGATGGTTTTTTACCGTACACGAAATGGCATGGGAGTTTTCCAATATACCCTTTCCTGCTAAGCAATATGGACGGTCCTCATAAGGCTTGGCTACTGTAACAGTCGATACTTGACAATGTTGACCCTGGTCTTTACCTACAATCTACGACCGTGAGGACGACAAGTCTAGATCTGCCCTCTTGTCTATTCAGGAAGGGATTCAAGTCAGGCAGTGCTGAACTTTCCCACATTAATTATTGTGTCCACTACCGTAATCTCAAATGGAGAAACTGCCTAACTGATGCGAAATTTGCTTTTTCAGGCCTTACAATATCGATTTCGTTCTCACCCCGCCTCTAGTATCAATGTTACTAACCCTGATTTTATGAATGCAATCACCATGACCCACCCCCCTGACTCTTATCGTGCGAAAGGGACGGTTGGACAATTTGGAAAACGTTTTTATCCCCTTTAAACTTTATAGAATTATTCTAAGATATCTTAAACTGGTCGTATTGGGGCCACAAAAGCTTTATAGCCCGCGAGGAGTAAAGCCTTTAAGACGGGATACGTTGGATCGCTACCTCATGCCACTGAAAACACAACAAATCCCGTTGTTTCTCTCTTCGTTTGCAACTTTCGCCAACACCACCGACACCAATTAGCTGTAGCTCCGAGATACCGGACATCGTAATACGAAAAAGAGCGGAGTTGTAACGTTATGTAACAATGCCTGTCAGGATTGCTTTAGTGTGAGTACTAAACAAGTCCCCTAAACTTGGAGGAAGCCTACAAAGCTAGTGTAACTGGAAGAGCCCAAGCGGACTCACGTTATTTTATAACACTGTCCAGTAGAATTTTCTTTAATTCTGCTTTCATAATATATTTATACGTGCAGTTTGATACCTTCATCGTTGCAGGGAAAGTCTATTTACAAAGTCTTGAAGCGCCTACTCGACGACTCGAAACCTTTCCGTACATTATTTTGTAATTTACCTTAGAGAAGTGTCACATATCGGTTCCGCAACCCTTCACAAGATATTCTTATTTAGGTACCATCTGGTAATGCAACAAACTCTAACTCACAATAACGGTCTAATGTTTTACAACATCCACAACTGTCGTGCGCATCGAACTATCCTGAACACACCAGTCTGATAACTTAATGGACGTAGGCACACAGGATTGATTTCTTTTTTGTTTCGAGAAATGCTCAGATCATACGTAACTGCTGTATCAGCTAGTGTCGTTCTAAAAGCACCTAAAATCAACGAATATATTTTGTATTTGTTGTATTTAATAATTACTATTAACTTTAGGTGAATGACAATTTTAATAGCAGTAGAGCTTCATGGCTCCTTTTGAAAGAGTTCGTCCAGGCAAGTACTGCCACCTTACTTATTTCTGCTGCTAAGCAGTAACATGAATTTTACTGCGTTCCGGTTTGGAAGGGTAAAGGTACTGGTGAAATTACAGGCACATGGGACTTATCCACTTATGTCTCTAATAATGCTCACGTTTCTGCTTGGTGGCAGAAATAGGTAAGGTCGGAGTACTTTCGTGGACGAACTCTTTCACAAGGAGCTATGGAGCTCTACTGCTACTAAATTACGCATTTTGTCCTTCTATTATTGTCGAAGGCGGTACTAAAGCTGGCCGAAGGTGGACGCGTGTTGCTTGGCAATCTCGGTTAATATTTAAAACTGTCACTATTATATCTTACTCTAAGAGAGCTTGAATAGATCAGTTGATAAAGTTATATGTTGCGTAGTTCAAAGGTCATTATAAACTTATTAAAAGGCGGTGTTATTTTTCCACAGGTTCTGAGGAATTTTGTAATTGCATCTTGCCAGCTTAACATACTCATAAACCTTTAAACACTGCACACCAAAGAGCTGTATTATTTATGAGCCGCTATGACTTTTGTATTATTTAATTTATTGTTATGTATTATTTAAGAACAACAAAGACAAATTTTAGAGCTCCTTGGGAAAGAGTTTTTTTTTTACTTCTTCAGCTGTAATGTGAGCTTTACTGCGTTCCGGTTTTGAAGAGTAAGCGTGCTGGCGAAATTACAGACACATGGAATTTGTGAGTTACTAGAACTTATGTCACAGGGTGACGGGCACAGTGGCGGTGCCCCTCATATGTTTGCGATTTGAAGCTCTAAGCGACACTGCAACTGTTATGGGCACATGCGTCGCCTCCTACCAGGCGCACGACTTTTTCGTCCCATCTCATCGTAAATAAAAAAATCGTTTAAGGGCATTCTCGTGAAAAACACTAAGACACGAATACATAATGAAAAACGAATAAAAAAGATCTTTAAATTTATACGAAACCATCAGACTCTCTTTGTTCTCCACTGAACCACGCCGAGCACTACGTTGAAGGACATGGGCAGCGATACGCGTACGGTATAGCAGCCAGTAATCCATCAGCATTCAACTGCTGGAGGTGTACGGCATCGCATTAAGTTTTTATGGATAAGATAGGGCGGCGGCGTAGTTTTTTCCTTTGTCTTTACACAACAGATGTTGTGCCTGTGCGCTCTAGCGTGTATGCGGCTTCCCGACAGTTAGTTCACCTGTAAGTTATCGGTGATTAGTATATACGGTAATACACACTTTAACGTCATATTTGCATGTCTTTTCTTTTAGAAAAATTTGTACTCACATTAATCTCTGTAACGTTGAAAAGGAAATGAACACAGCAGAAATGTTATAAATTATTTATTAATTGCTGAACAGTTTAGTTACGTTAGTTATTTGGATTTTCTTTCTTTTTTATTGGCGCGTAGCAGCTGACGCTGGCCAGAGCGACGGTTTTAAAAACTTGGTCAGTTTTCGTTACTAAACGCGAAGGTTTCCCGCATTAATACTACAGTTTATAATCATGAACGTTTCGACGCCAGATACCTGCGTGAGCATCACTCTCCACTAACCGAAACTTTTTTAACGCCTTAAGTTATAACTGTAATGATTAAACCTTTGGTTTTTAAATGTAACAAATTTGGCCACATGTTTACTCCTTAACCCTGTTACTGTACGGTTGTTATTAATAAGAAACAACGGTTCCGATCTGTCTTTTCGTACATCTGTTACGTCTGATTTGGTCACGAAGTACACTTCAGGAAATTTTAGGTTATATTCCTCTGGCAGATCTTCTGTATCGTTAGGAAAAACAATGTAAACAATGATCTTTTTACCATCATTACTTCGACCCAACTTGACGTTAGGTGGTGCCGTGGCTACTAAAATTTTATAATCACTTAATGGTGGCTTGACTTTAGGTAAATTTATGAAACGTTGACTGTTGAAGAGCGCCGTGTCGTTCATCTTCGTTTGGAAGTACTTGTGCGGGAAAATTATCCGTGCCACTTGATTCGTGCATCCTGTTCCCAGCCCCGGGGTTGGTGAAGAAAGCGTTTTTGAAAGCAATTCACGCCTAAGGTCGCCGTCAGGTGAAAAGTCCTGGGAAATTTTCGCGAAAAGCGCACCAAAGGTTCGCGGTCTAAATTCTTCTTTAGTAGATACCGGATTAAATTTTATAGAGAATCCATTTCTTATTGGAAGGCTCTCTATAAAAACGTCTGGGAAGACTAACAAGGCGAACATGGCCTTAATGATCTGTGGACAAAAATTTTTACTATTGAAAATATTTTTAAAGTAAAGAATATTCTTTCAAATATATTTCGTGCAACTTACACTCTCCATCTTAAAAATGATTAAGTGATAGGTATATGCAATGGTATAGATCAGGAAGGTGACGGCCGCTCGACGACGAGTTTCAAAGCCAAGTGAAGCAACAAGACGACATGGTTTTGTTATGACAACAATTTTCTATCAAAGGATGTTTAACTGTATTTACAGTAATAGTGGAAAGTAACAATGGATTACACATTTACAAATTCATTGTTCTCCACCATTGTGCGCTTTGTAAGTTTTTAAAAATCGAAATCCGATTAATATATAAACGTTTACTCCATTTTGCCAATACACAAGTTTGTAGTTGTCTGAACAAGACCACACAAAGAAACACACTTCTTTGGTATTTAAACGTAAAGATTAAACCACTACTAAACTTTAATCGCATTATAGAATTCTTACTGTAAGTAAAACATATACAGGTCGTCCCAAATCTATGGGATACGAAGGGACAATATTTTAAATATTGTATTGTGTTTATAAAAAGCACATAGAGTATTTGCAAAGGCACAGCATGTATTTTATGATGCCGTTCGAAAGGGACAATTAAAAGGATTAATTCCTTATAAGTAACATAGTGCCTTAATTTAAAGGATAGCCGTAAATTATACAATTTATTGAAGTAAAAAAAAGAAACTTAAAACAGTCAATGTATCTGCGGTATTTGCAATTCGTTTATGAAATGTTCAAAACGTGATCCACTTTCTTGTATGTATATTCTTAATATTTTGATAAGTTCGAGGTCTGTAGATGTTCTTTCTCTGTTTTGAACTTGCTTCTTAGCAAGATAGTTAAAATAATACTTTTTTTAGCGTGACAGGCAGATGACTCCAGTCCACCTGATGTTAAATGGAAAGTGGAATCGACAATTATATGCCCGGAACTTAAGACTATAAATAAACAAATACAATTGTAACCATTTTGATTTTGTAAAATTTATACAGACAATTAGCTACAGCTAACGATGAAGAGATTAAACATGTTTTGTAAACCACTGTTAATTTGACATTTGGTATATAATATAAATAATTAATACAGTATGTATGATGCTGGGTTCTAACTAGCTATGGCAAGTCCAAAATGTTTGTTCATGTATCATCATCCTCAGCTCGACTTCATCTACTCCTGCTTGGGTATCTATTGGGGTCTCTCGTGGTTTATGTAATCCACTATCATCTTGCGCTCGTCTCACACATATACCCTCCTAAGACCTTGGAATCTGCAATGGGGAAAGCGCTAATAGCCCATTGTACATTATAATATACTAAATATTACATGCTTCAGATCCAAGCAAGTACCGCCTCAGTTTTGTATGGCTCACGCATTTTTGTAGGTACCCTATATGGTCATGTAGTGCTAAATTGGAATGCGATATTTTCATCATGTACAGTAGTCGTTTACGTTGTTACAGGAATTAATCACTTCACACAATATGTACCTACGTTTTCATGTACAGCAGGCCTTAGGGAGAATACGGCATTTCTCGTACATGGTTGTAAAATGATATGCCATGTTTGGATAATCACGAATTTCTAATACATTGTCAAATAGTCCACTTGATCTTTGAAACACCACCACCCTATACAGTTGACAAAACCGTCCACGTCTCTACTCCCAACGACAATCCTTCTAAATGACCCTTGACCTTATCATAGTGTACTAACGTACTGACAACAATGGCTCTTCATTAATACCTGACACAAAAGAACAGGCTAATACACCCCTGAAAATTTTACTTCCGTTTTTTGGAACACATAAAATTAAACTTTTCCCTTCTATTGTTTACCCACACGCACATATGTAGTTATGTAATTTGGGTATATATCTGTGAATCAAGAACTATTACTATTATTAAATCGGTTCATCGCATCTACCAGTAGTTGCTAAAGTTTAATACACACGTAGCTTCGTGAGACGAAGGTAATTTACTGATAATAAATTTCAACACAGGACTAATAAATATGTCGCCGACACTAGTTCTCACATATTTCCGATCTAAGTTAGGGATATTGGATTTCCATAAATCTTAGTGTTTTAAGAGGACGGGGGCAATACCCTGTCTTTACCACTGCCACTGTAGGCGACGTCTTGTCTTTGTCTGAGTAATAATAACAGCACACCGTTCAGGAGTCGTAAAATGAAATCCTTTATTAACATACTCGTAAAACACTGAAATTTTATTTTTATGGCGACGTATCGAAAACCAAGACGACTTAAAAATTAATTCATTATTTTACAGATTATTATGCCTCTCTGAACCTATAAGAACTTTTATGAATATTGTAGGAATCGTAATCTCCATTCAAATGCTTATCGTATTCGACTTAATGTGCCTCTAATTAATGCTGACGAAGAGCCATGAACGTTATTACCTACTGTTTAGCAAAAGTCATAGGATATACAGGCGCGAACATGGCGCGAAGCGTCGCGAATAAGGAGAGGAAGAACATTATGTGTGATCTGAGAATAACGCACTCCCTAATGAGATTTTCCATTTCAAGTTGCCATTTTCAATTGACTTTTCCTATAATACGTAGATGGAATAAATTGAGGTAAGTTAGGTTGGCTCTAAAGGATGAACGATACTTATCTTGACAAAACTTTAGGTATATTAGGTACCTTACCTTGTTGAAATTGACTTACTTGCAATTCTGTCATTATGTTAATAAAACTTTTAAAAATTAGTCGTAATGAAGATTCCATGAAAGTATGTATTTAAAGTACCGGCACGCTATAATGGCCGGTTTGACAGATTACAATAGTGAAGTGAAATCTCAATTCTATAAGTTTTTAGATTTATAATAATAGTATTGCAAGCGGTAGCTGATTAAAAATTCGGTATACTGATGTAAACTACCTAGCACCTACTTGCTTTACCCTTTTACGTTTCATATGTATGTGTACGTTTTATTGAAATCGGTTGCCGGAAAGTGCGCGAATTCCGCCGGATTCATCCCTAGTTTGCCACCGTTAAGAGGTGGAATATTTTCTTCAAATTTAAATGAGACCAATACTAAGGTACAATACTTTCCAATAAAAAAGAATTACCAAAATCGGTTCACAAATACCGCAATAATAGTAATCGCGTAACATACACTCACACACAAAATAGTCCAATTTAGAACTTCTCCATTTTTGAAGTCGGTTAAAAATGTGTAAAGTTTTAAACATGTATTTTACTTTCATTCTACAAAAAAAGCATGAACCTTTAGCCATTAGTCCATTACGTAAAAGTTAGTATACGTTTAAGTTTAATAGCCGCATTCTTTCCCATAAAATGGTTTTGTCATAGTTCGAATTATGTGTGGCTTCTATAAACGTGGTAAAATGTGTATGTATAATAAGTAATGTTGTAGGTACTGTTCACGATGTTATTAAAAACTATTCATTGGTTAAACACTGGAAAAAGGTTTATTAACTTTTATAAGACTTCTATATATCATCATCATCAGCTTACACGCATCCACTGCTCTGCCGTGTCAAATCAATACACTGTAAAGTCGCTTACAGTGTTTTGATTTAACAGCGCAGCGCTCATATGATTTCTCTAGGTCTAACCCGTACCTATACATTTCAACTTTGGAAGTTTTAGTGTATTTTTAAAGACATATTAAAAACTAAAATACACTATATAAGTTTATAAATTTAGAAATTATTTTGACATAACACGGTACGCAACAATACAGTCTTTCGTTTTGACAATTTACGCGCGCGAAATGCAGTACAGTGTTGCGGGGCTGAGTTATGCCTGGGTCACGGCGTAGAAATCTGCCTTCCGCATAAAGGCGTTCACGAGTCTTCCGCTTTGCGTTGCGGAGAGACTTGCGCGCTTGCGCGGCACCCTATCTTTGTTTCGGTGTTATTGGACGCGTGAACGCTGCTGCTCTGGGATTGGCCTCCGCAAACGTTCCCTGTTGCTTGCGTGGAAATATCAAACACACGCAACGCAAATAAATCCAACGCAAAGCAAGCGACCAGCGCAAGCGAGCGGCTCGTGAACAGTCCTACCTAAGCGCACAAGACAGATCTTTACGTATGCGCGAAACGAGTCACGCAAGCAAGCGTAAAACACAAATGAAAGACTCGCATATCGCGCAAATGTCTCAGAAGCGATGGTCTACTAACATTTGATTGAAAAAAAACTGACCTCAAAAGTTTGCTTATCCATGGGATCCCCTCTAACTTCTTAGTGACTATGATACTGTTATGGACTACTTTGTAAAGTTTTATTTTTTATAATATATCAAGTGACAGGACGAACGAGTCGTGCGCATGATGGTTAGCTACACGTCTGTTTAAAACAGTTGCATGCCACTCAGAGCTTTAAATCGCAAAGATTGAGGGGTACTGCCACTGCGCCTTCCAACCTGAGAGATAAGTTGACAAGTCCCATTTGCCTATAACTTCACCAGCACCCTTACCCTTCAAAACTGGAACACAGTGTGACGTTGTGACCTCCTTACATCGTCATCCCTCCTTTTTATCGCCTTTTCTCCGGTACCTGGCCACTTGTTTTTAAATTTTGAATCGATCTTTAATTCCTTTGCCTCGCCGTTCTGATTTTGTTTCGTTCCATTGCCACTCCCTGCTCGATCACGTCATGTAATACTCAGCCCTTTCGGGGTAAATCTGTCTGACGTTTAGTATTTAATTATGGAGTGTTTTGTAGCGTCGTACCTGTTTTTTACGAACGACAAGACGACATTTTAAAATGACATTCTATCGTGTCAAACCAAAACATTGCAAGATTCAATACAGTATTTTGTAATTTTATATCCACAAGAATCTTTCGGCTGTTGATGAGGGAAAAGACACTTAATTCATATTTCAATACAAATAACTTACTTTCTGGATGTACAAGGTAATCTAAATATATCTTTTCATGTTATCAAAGAAACCCATATAACTAATAGACCTCATAGCAAAATGGCTTTAGAAGAATTATTAAGAATAAGAATATTTATCACAATAATTATCATTAATGAGTACTAAATGTAGTTTTTGTAATAAGAAATGAAATTAATTATCAAAAATATTTATTTTAAATTTATATGAATTGGAA